TTCCCAAACGGAGTCTTTAAAAATTCTGATCGTTAACCTCGTGATAAATAACGAAAGTTCGAGTATATCTTTCGAAAGATCAGGTTGGGATAATGAGAGGCAGGGGCTGAGCCGCAGGTGTGGGATGGGGACCTGCTACCGGGTTTACGCGCATCATTGGCGTAGCTATCGAAAAATCTCGATCGGTCCACGACAACATCTTTGTGCATCAATATTTATAACATCTCAAAAAAAAGAACTAAATATAATCTAAGTGTGACGTAATATTTATCTCAAAAAACATTTCTGCAGAATTGAATAATATAACATAGTCTTTAAAAATATAGATTTCAATTGAAGAAATAGGATATTAGAAATCCATCGAAATATATTCCATATGTCGCAAGAGATTGAAAATCTGTAAAATCATGCACTGCTACTATAATGCATAGTATATTCAACACGACTGCTTTATTCCGGCAATTTACCTCCTCGACTACCAGAATGATTCATTTAGACCCGAATCACAATTTCCAGCGGAATCGTTCGTGGCATTCGAATAAATTTTCCCGGAGTCAGTCGGCCGCCCTTACTTCCTCTTTTGTCATGGAGATAAATTTCCAGAATCGACGACGTTCGAGGCAGCGTCGGGGGAAATCGTACTGGCTAATTGCAGACGACTTTTATGCCGTCTCGAGAAGCCTCTTTTCTCTCTCGTGTGGACCGCATTCCACGCACGAGTATACGCACACGCTCGAGGGAAAATCTTGAACACGCGCGGCCGAGAGCTGACGGAATGTAATTTCGTTCTGGGTGAAATTCTGCCAAGGAAGACGCGACCCACCTCTTATTGGCCCTTATGCTGGACCGGATGGTGGCTGCGGCATCTATAAAACTCATCCGACCATTATTGTATGTCCTGCCACCTATCCGTGTCCAAATGTCGTACGGAGATATAGAAGGGAATCATGGTTCCTTTTATAACAAGGACCGCAAGAAAGACACAGAAAGACGACGGAAGGACGATATTTCTCGTCGGGCTATTCGAAAAATATTGCGGGGACTGGAAGAAATATTATCTGAGAGTTTATTAAATATTGAGAGTTTATGAATTTTTCGAAAGCACTGCTTGTATACGCACATGAAAATACACATGTGATTTTCAGAGAGAGAAAGAGAAAGTCTTCTATACTACACGGAAAAAATATTAGCCACCATAGTTAAATTTTAGTTGTCCCTATATATTACATCTGAAATTTAATTATTATGCCTAAATTTTGGCTGTGATAACTAATATTTCTTAGCTATAATTTAACGAAGAATTCTCATTTAACTATAGTTAAAAAATATTAGCTTTCATAGCTAAAATTTAGGTTTGATAACTAATTTTCCAGTGTAATATAGAAACGTTAAAGTTATGGTAGCTACATTTTCCGTTTATATTTCACTTTGTTATATATATATATTTTTATTGTATAAGAAGAGAATGTTATTTATCAGAATCCTAAAAATATATTTGATTTTTATGTAGCTAATTCAATACGAAAAATCTCGAAAATCGTTATGTTATATCGCGTAACGCATAAAGCGATTTCTGTGGTAAATCAAGAGCGACGAAGCTCGGCGACCTTTTAAACTTCGCCCACGGAAACAGTATTTGTTCAACGGGAGGTGCTACCGTCTGCTCGTTTCATCAGCACGCCCGCGATGACGGCCGATGATGACTTTGATTCGCAAACACGGCTCCCAATTATACGGGGATGGTATCCGTACGGTAGCTGACCGTGCATTAGCTGCACCAACAATGCATTATTCAGTGTATACACGTTGCGTTGACGTATTTGCCTGTTTCGTAATATGATTGCTGCGATATTATTCGATGCGCGCGGTTCAACGTACCCTGGACATCGGTTCGAATTTTGCGAGCTGTCACTGACAAATTAATCCGGCCTTCTCATCGTTTATTCGCGCGCGCATAATCCGTTCCGCGATTGAATGGAAAAGAAGCGGAAGAGTAAATAATTTTTGTTGCTGCGCCAGTAACGCACGCGCATCTTGTATATATTTTTCTATGGATATGCGCTGGATTTTAATTCTGAAAACTTTTTTTAGAAGGCAGAACAACGCCCTTTCTCCCTATTATTATTCGTCAAACGTAATTAGTTTGCGGTTTTCATATTTAAAACGATTGTAAAATTGATCGCATGTTTCATCAAAGATGGATATAATAACAGAATACAGCAATTAAAATGTATAAAAATAATGGACAAGACACATATATAACATATACATGTATATATAATGAAATAAAGATTACTTAACTGGAACATCCATAATTGAGTTAAAAAAAGTATGAGAATATTTAAATTCATTAAAATTTGAAACATTCATTGTCAATCAGAAATTCAAAATTTACTGATATTAATAGCAAATTAAAATTTTGGTATATTAATTATTATGTTACAAAAAGATTCCAATCAATTTATTTGATATAATTATCGCAAATTTATTTGAGAATATGTATATTGTATATGTGTGTGTAATGTGTATAAAATAAAAATTAGTTTAGCACTCACCGGTACGATGCACAATAATTGTAGTGCACAGCAGTCGATCTGTAACATACAAATATATATTCAAATTATAAAATAATATCCAAATAAAATAAAATAACATTTCAAAAAGTAATTATTATAATTGAATTTTTCGTCCTTTAAATAAAAATTATTATGTAATTGTCAGAAAAAGTTTTTAAATAATTAGACTTATAAATATGATAAATAAAAATTTAATTTTTTCTCTCTTTTTACTTATATAAATAATTTAAATGATTACAGATTTTAAACACTGTTTTGCAATATTTTATCTACAAAAAATATTAATTATTATAAATATTTTGTTATATGTATAAATAATTTAAATATTTGAAAATAAAATTTCACAATGCATATAATATTTCATACATACATTTTATTATACAAAACATAGTTTTCTATCGCGAAGACGAAGAAACGCGATTAATCTCGTGCATAAAAAAAATACACACAAAATTAAATTAAATAATCATAAATAATGCTCACTCTCTCGAGCTTCCTTCTCCTCTCTTGTTCTCCTTTGTTGTTCCTTCATGGCACTCACTCGCGAAAACATTGCTAATCACGGTCGCGTATTAATTAGTGAAACACATCATAAAAATATATGACAATTGCGCGACACTTTGCACGGCATTTCCAATGTTAATGGTACGTAACACATATTATATGTGTAGTATTACTATGGGAAAACAACACGAAAACGATCGCATATATTTATGATTTATTCGACACTGAAAATTATGCAACTTGACGCGCTACTCATCGTGGCGAAGCTATCACTGCTAACGAATAGTAAACTCGCAATTTTATCATCTCGCATTATAATCTAAATGAATAAATCTACAAGTTAAAATTGAAGGTAAATATCCGCGGAATGTAATATCCGAAAATATTTCGTCGCTTTTTCGTATACACGCGATAAATTCTGATCAAATAAATAAAACGAAATCCGCACTTTAATAGATTTTATACGTACAAGAATTTAATTTTTGCTACACAGTTGACAATTATTAAAATGTCGTTAAATACATTCGTATAAATTAATTAACTAAATGTATCGCGAAAAACTATTCGACTTCATTCTTTCTGCAGCGACAATACTTTAACCGAGAAATTCGAAAATAATACCGACTGCTTTATATGAACACACTAATTAAATTGACAATAATTAAATAATCACTAAATACACATAATCACTGAATAATCGTGCACTCGCGCGCGTAACAAATAGGATTAGAAATCTCCTAACTTATATTTTTCTAATCTTTGATTCTTACTATTATCACTACTTAATTACCTTCATAACTCGATGTAACATTAGCACAATTAGCAGGTTGGCCAAAATCAAGTATTCATGCCTACGAGTGTCTTGAATACTTTCATGTTGGCCATCCCTGCTAGTTAACCACTGTGCGCAGTATCGGAATAAAGATATATTTTCACATTCCTCGGTCAAAACGTTGTCGAAAGAGTTGACGAATAGTTTTCCGATACATTTAATTAGTAGATTCAATCGTATTTAACAATGTACTTTGATAATTGTTAATCGCGCAGTAAAAATTCGATGTCTGCATCGGTTTGTATTGTGTGTATGTGTGAGAGAAAGAGAGAGAACGCGCGCTGTTTTTACGTGATTAATTCGATCAAAATCTATTGCGAATAGTTGGCGAAGCAATGCAATATTTCCGGATATTACATTCCGCGAATATTTCCTTTTCGTACTTCAACTCGTAGATTCATTTATTTATATATATAAATGTGAGATTATGTATGTAATTATTTCAATACATGCGAGCGAGGTTACTTACGTCCTAGCGCCAACGGAAGACACGACGAAATGACCGAGGAACGGCGCAATAAGTGCTGTGACGTGCGAACTTAGTTGCGAGTATATCGATTAGTTGCGAGTATCGATTATTCGCAAGTATCGAGCGAGTGACACGCGCAGCGCTAAAGCCCGTATCAGATTAGATTGAAAATTGAAGATTAAAAAGATTGGAATTTAACTAATTAGAATAAAAGGAATTAAAATTTCTTTGGCTTGAGTGTGTGTGTGTGTGTGTGTGTGTGTGTGTGTGTGTGTGTTTAAACAATCTTTAATCTCAATCTTCAATGCGTAATGTACGGGCTTAAAGTAGAGATGGCACATCTATATCTATGTAACATATCTATGATTGGTAGTTGGTGGTGCAATCCTAGGGGTTGGCAGGTGTTGATTGCAATCGCACTTTCCCGCGTCTTTCTTCGCCATTTTACCGCGCATATTTCTTATCGCGTACACATGCAGGACGCATCGCGTGTAATTAATATCGGGAGTGCCGCACAGTGCCGCGCCAATGTTATATTTGTTATTAATGAATGCGCAATCGTGTACCTCTAACCGTATCTAACTGTATTTTCGCGAGTGAGTGCCATGAAAAGCAGCAGCAAAGGACGAACGAAGAAAGACCCGGAGATGCATCTAAAAACGGAGCAATCCATTAGTGAGTAATTTAATATTTGTTTCATTTCATTTATATTATTAATATTTGTTACTTGTAAGCTTGAAGAAATCGCTCGATTATTTTTTCTTTCGTGATGAGCCATTTTTATATTATATCATATTAAACACATTATTACGTAAATATATGTGTGTGTATGTATAATGTAATATATGTATTTCAGATTATTCGATACATAATGCAGAACGCGTTGCGTATAATTAATATCGGGAGTGACGTACAATGTCGCGCGAATGTTATATTTATTATTCATTAATGCGTAATCGTAGTTAACCGTGTTTTCGCGAGTGAGTGCCATGAAGAAGCAGCAAAGGATGAACGAAAGAGGAGGAAAGGACCCGGAGAGATAATCGGGCAACGGCGGAGCATCGTGTAAAGTAAGTTTAGCATTACACAAATATATAATGTGATAGATAAAAACATAATATATATAAAATATATATTCTAAATTTTAACAAACATTCTAGATTTTCATTTGAAATTTGTAGAATATTTACATTCAAAAATATATATAATATAATACTAAATATATATTCTTATGTACACATATAACAGATTTATATAATATAAAATAGTATGAAATATTTCAATTTTTGTTTAATTTATTCAAAATTAATATTTAGAAAAATATATTTAGATAACTTTTTTTTATAAAAATTAGATTTTTATTACATTTTATAAAAGTTTTTATTTTAAATTTAATAATTATTTTTTGCCTAAAATAATTATTTTTAAAATATTCAAATATTCGTTGTTTTGAACATTACTAATTGAATATCTTTAATATAAATTAAATAATACACAATATAAATATATTTATAAAATACCTAATGTGTTGTGCCATTCAACTCTGCCGTTGTGCGTCGAATCAATATGTTAAATTGTTTTTTATTTTTCATATTAAAATAATTTGAGAAAGTTATATTTAATAAATCGATTAAATCTTTTTCTGACTTTTTGAGACTATTAACATGTAAAAATTCAAAATTATTGCTTATTGTTAGTATTAAATTGCTTAGTATTAACAAATTTAAAAAATTAAAAATTAAGAATTAAAAAAAAGTAAATTGAGTATTAAAAACGTTAAAATATTTAAATATATTTATTTATGTACATTAATTTTGTTTTATATTGAATGCTTTATTTCAATGTGAAATTCTGTATATTGTGAAATTCTATCATTAATGCTTGCAGTATCTCCAACGCGATTCGCATTCCATGGTATGCGGTATGCATTCAACTTTTAATAGATCCAAAGAATTGTGAGGCATTTCGCACGTATTTAATCCGTGACTGTTGTGCCAATATTGGCTATTGTACTGTTTATGTGCCATTTAACTATTCCTTGCTGAACTTCCGCGTACCTGTCTTGATTGACGTTGCAGATGAGCGCGTCTTCAGTATTATCACGTACGACATGATATACTGCTTGCATCGAGCAATTGAATAACTTCGATTACAATTAATTAAGACATTATGATTATGTAAATATTTTTTTTTATTTCGATGAAAATTATAATAATATCTTAAACAGTAAATATCTGACATTACAAGTATGAAAGTATAAGAAAATACAATTTTGACAAACATTTAATCGCGAACATTAATCACGTTCATAATCAATGTCAGTATATAGTGTAAAATAAAAAAAATGTAATTAATGAATATAAATGAAAAAAATCTTTAATTCTCTGAATCATTTTAATTCTTTGAAATTTTTAATTCTTAATTTAATGTTTAATTTCTTGAATCTTTATATTTACAAAAAACATATTAACGATAATTAAAACAAATATAACAAGAAAATAAAATGCGAATAAATCAGAGTAAATAAAAAATAGATTTTACGACTAATTTCACATTAGAATGTAACGATCGTTTCGGTATTGAGCTGACAAATCTGAAATGGGATGGAAAAAAAAAATTTGTTCTATCTATGTAAAGGGGATTCCGCACGAAATCGTCGAGCACGCGATCTGTAATAAAAACCGTGAAAACCGGACGCTTCCACGCGTCGTGAATTCCGACGAAAATTGACGCTGATGCAAGTAAACAAATGCGCAATCATTATACAAAAATATTCGGCCAAACTGCCGCGCGCACACACACGTGACTACCAGCTAAATATTTACGTAGCTGAGTGCTGGCGTTGGTAATAACAAAGGAAAATAGGTGAAATGCAAACACAATGCACCGCATGCGGCACGCTACCGACAACGGCGCGCCTTTTCAACGGTGCGACTCATCCTATCCTATTGTGCTTAATAAAAATACTTAATACTTAATACTACATAATACTTGATAAGTTTTCAACCGTGATTAATGCTCTTTCTAATGTTAACCAAAGGGTTTGTAGGAAAGCCGCTTTAGCATGAATATCAAAGCGTGCAAATAAGAGCATTTTCTTGAAAGATTTGATGAGTATTATTTTTGTTACCACGTTTATTATAATTCAATTTCAAACAAGAAAAACATATAGCAAGCAGATAAGAACCCGATCGGACGATTTATGATTTTTTCAGCCGACAAATTATTAATGTACAGTTGTAAATATTAAATTTGCCAAGGAGGAACGTAGTCCGCGTCTTATCACGTCACGCGTTTCGAAAATGCAGTTCCAACATGCAACCGCCGCCGCCGTCGCGCTCCCGAGGCGGTTGTACCTCGCTCGATTTAAATTAATAAAGCTAATCAGGCTAATCTATTGACCGGGCGAGGCCGCGCCGCCATTGTTGATGGTCCGCTCGAAATATGCAAATGAGCGGGGGATGAAAGCGGATGGGTACATCAGCCGCGCGCGTCATCACTCAGGTACCCGTTCCTCGCCGTTATGGCTCGTTTCCCTGTGTATGTGGGTACGCCTGTGATAATGAAAATACCGGACTGCCAGTACAGTCGGGAAAGAGGATGGGGTCCAACCGGGGCGATCATTACAGTCATCAGCGAGATGACCGGCTCGATAGTCGATCAATTAAATGACCCTGCTGGTCTCTCTCGCTCTCCCTTTCTCTGTCATTCTCTCTCTCTCTCTCTCTCTCTCTCTCTCTTTGCGAGGCCCAAAATCGATGCTGCGCAAACGAGACGCCTCCGGCGTGTCGGAAAGAGTACGCACCCGACGACGAGCGATAAAATTATTTTAGAAAATTACCGGTGATGACGACGATGAGAAACGGGAATCGAGTTAGGTAATATTTAATGAGCGTGTGTTTTCGAGTGGCTGACGTTGCCGATCGCATATACCTTCCGCGCAAAATTGTTCGCGGATCTCGTTACGCGGAAAGCTAACGCAACGATAAGTTTGTTACATCGCGTTTAGCTCTGGCCGCTGTACGCAAAGAGGCACCTAACCGACTGGTCTGCGTTACATATCGTTGGTAAATGGAATTTCGCGGATAATTACAGCGGCAACTGCGGTAAGGGTCGAAATAAAGTTCGGTTAGCCGGCGTTCATTGCGGAATCGCGAACGCGGAATTGTATATGGACACGGAATTTCAGTTTTCCGCGAACGATTATAAGAGGCGTGGCTTGTCACTAAACATTTTACGATGCAATAATACCAAGAGATAATAGTTCTATTATGCATTGTTCCGTGAAATATCAACGTATCGCGATCTCTCCAATGCGCATTCACCAGATTCGAAAATAAGAATCAAATTTTACGATTTAAGGTATTAAGAGGTTCGAACAATTATGTAAGCCCTTTTTTTTTTCTCGTAAAAGTTCTGCGAACAATTTCTCCTACGAAAACGAAGAGGAAGAGGAAATATTTTTTGCGCAAATTATTTCACTCCCGACCGGTAATTCAAAGTCATTTCACTTGCCTATAAAAAGAAGCAATAAAAAGCCAGCCGCAAATAGTCATTCCTTTTTATGAAAGTTATTTTTGCGTTACGCATCTTAAAGCACAAGCTACCGAGAATTCTGTTCAACACTCGCATTTATAATTTATACGAATCACGTACTATGTACGTCGTAAATATGTAGGCTATGATTTATTTTCGCAATATAATATACATTAAAACATTATATACAATTAATTACATGAAGAAATGCGTGTGTGCTACATAATTATAATTAAAATTCTCTCTGTATAATTATATTATAATTGTAATATAATTGCAATAACAAAGTAAAAAAAATTTGAATAAAGTTAAACATTTTTAAATTATTGTCAAATATGTACACATAATTAATAATAGAGAAAATGGAGAAATTAGAAGAAAGTAATAGTAAATAACATATATGTATGTTATATAGTACTTATATTATTTTAATAAATTAAAAACATTTAAAATACAAAAGAAAATTTAAGATCTTTGTTGTTAGAGAAAAGTATAATCCTATTATGTATATATCTACACTTTCAATGACAGATCCTTTTGAATATCATTCTTTTATTACACGTTTTTATGATTAATTGATGATTGACACATTGACATGTGAATTAAAAAAAATGTCAATAGATGTCAAAACTCAATTCTGATTGACACTTCTATCTTAGCGGTTTAAAATGGTTTAAAAACTTTTATAGTTCACTAAAAGTAAACTTTGAAATTTCTCTATGTCCTTTGGGACTCTAAATCCCTTTGCTCTAGAACTCTAGGAAAATGTTTCTAAAATGTTTTAGTTTTGTATTGTTTTGAATTCACATATATTTTAACTTATTTTTATATTATAGTTTTATGTAGCATACACTTTTCTTTAGAAACAATACTATTTATCTTGTAGGTATAGTAAAAGCGAAAATAATCTTCATAAAATATAATGTACAATTTGAAATACGCTATACATATATATTGAAGACGTTTAAATTAGTGTTCAATAATACTTTTAATAATATAATAATTCTATGACATGTACCTACGAGAGATTCAGCGTGATGATAATAAACGAAAAATAACGAAATAGAATAGATTAATATTCGTGAAATGGCGTCATTATGAAATTTTCTTCTTCTCTCGGCAATCGTAAAGTTAATTGATATTCTTAAAACAATTGCTAATTTGGCGAATAGTGAAAGGAATTCAGCTTCCAAAGTTGTAGATTTAAACATATACACACATATATACATACACACAGTTATATATATATATATATCTGTGTGTATATAAGTATGTATCGGTGGCTGTAAAACGAAGAGGCAATGAGCCAAGAGGCGTTGCTTTACACGAGAGCACGTGTAAACCGTACGGAGGAGGATCGTTGCGTACCTTATGGGGTTACGAGTGACGTTACCGAGGTTACAGCGAAGTTACAGCCGTTTATGCGAGCTGTTGCACGGGCTATTTGCCTTTGTACAACCAAATACGAGTTACGCTCGCTACGTCGAACAGGAACGCTAAGTAGCTGTGAAGGAAATTCGTGGTGAAAAAATGC